TATCTATCTATCTATCTATCTATCTATCTATCTATCTATCTATATATCTATCTATATATCTATCTATCTATCTATCTATCTATTTATCTATCTCTCTCTCTCTCTCTCTGTCTCTCTCTCTCTCCCTCTCTCTCTCTCTCTCTATATATATATATCAGATAAGGTGAGGTAAGATAAGATGTTGATACTTTTTTGTCCCAGTTGGAAATGTTTCTTGGCTGTACAGGACTGGTAAAACACGAGTCGATGTACATAGAATTTAGATTTATGCAATACGCAAAGAGAAATGCAATATGAAGTGAAAAATCAAGCTGACAATAATACACATATTACATCAGATGCATTTTTCTATCACATGAAGGAATTTATCCCAGGTCTTTATTGTTATATAGAAATATTCGATTTATACATAATCGTAATAAAGGAACAGTAATGCACATTAATGTTCATTTTGATAGTAGTTTTATTCCAGATTATTATATTTATATTTACTTACGGATTTATTGGAAGTCTACAAATCTTTTCTAAGTTCAGACGTAAACCTCAACATGTTTTGTGTTTCAAGTACTGCGATGTACACGTTTTTCACACGAAGTGTCCACTCCCCAAAAATATGAAGACCCACGTACACCTGTCGAATTTAAATCAACTTGGTACTATAGAACTGTAACGTTCTCTCTGCCCAATACCTACCTTGATGTGAAAACTTTTGAGTTTCACACCATGTCAAACTTGTACGAATACAATTCTTTGAATATCTTTATAACGACTCCGAATATTCTTACGATTTTGATAAAACAGATAGAACATTTTTTTTTTGAGCGCATGGTCTTAGTAACTCAAAATGGCCAAAAATGTCAGATAGAACTTTCTAATTTTAAGCTAGACATCTGTTTGACAAGGAGCCTCTAGTAGTTACAGTATTATCGCTCAACGACATAGCAATGAACCGCGGCCGAAGTGAAAGCGAGAGACACGAAGTCCTTGAAAGTATCGGAATAGCCGCGTACGAATAGAGTAACGCTTCAATGCAATACAAGTACTTGAAGACTAGTATGGATCTTCAGAAAATGTCTAATTGAGGTCCCGATTCGGAACTCATAGGGGGTGCCCACCTACGCGATCGGGTCCTGTCGGGTCCGGTCGATCTGGTAGTAGGGGCTAGCCAAGTTGAGGCCATAAAGCGCCATCGTGACAGAAACAGATCGACTCGGTCGTTGACCTACAAAAAACAAACGTTTATTTTCAGGCCTGCGAATCGCACGATCGGGGGTTTGCAGCCTATCACAACAAGGCTGAGTCACGTGTCCATGTTGACACTCGAAATCCGGTGGCGCCCCCTTCGAAAAAGTGCAGACTTTGCGAACAGAGTTACCCTACTTGTGCGAAAAACAATAAAGGCGAAATTAATAAACTGTGCTATTCCTATTCTTCTTCTGGAGAAACGAAAGAGAGCTTCAAAACAAAGACTGCAGCGCGGACTTCCGCGGACACATTTTTGGCTGAGTGAACTATCTAGTAAAGATCGATTTTTGTTTGAGGTCCTGATTGGGGAATTTACTCTACTCAAATCTGGGGTCCCCGTTTTTCTGAGGCAACCAACATGGGGTTAGCCATGACGTGCATGGAAGACGATTTCAGCTTGTTTAAAAAAAAAAATAAAGATTAAAGAGTGGGTTGGTTGGAGTGACACGTGTTGCGAAAGAGTATAAATGTTTTACACCCCCATCAACACAATTTAGATAGGTAATGTGCAGCCTGGCTGGTCTGTCATGGTTAACCTGGGCCGATTCAACCAGACGTTTGTTGATCTCCTTATCATTCTGTCAAAATATCAGCCCCTAATTTGTGGACGCACTTGACACTCGTTTTATCTCAAATCAGAAATCAACCTCGACAACCCTCCCCCTCTTCCAAAAAACCCCTC